ATGACAACAATGGAACAGCACAGTTCATTTGATAGTGATGTTGGTGGTACGGAAATTCCCGCATCATCTGATGCTTCATTAGCAATTGAAAGACAATCAGCTGATATTTCAATTGCTGAAAAACCAATCGAAAAATTCGTTTACAATTTTGTTCAAGTAATATTTATTGATTTTTTATTTTTTATTTCATTTACTCAGATTATATATTTTTTGCTTATTAGTTTTAGCTCAATGATCATTTGTTTTTATTTGAAATACAATTTGAATAATTGTAAGCCTGAAAAGCTTATTATCAATCATTATTTTAGGATTGCAATTGGAATTTCTTAAAGCAATTTTCGTAGTTGGAATTTATTTAGTTATTTTTTTCTCTCTCCCACCCCATAAGCAATTTTTATTTATGAGAACAATGGGAAAATTCTCGGAAAGAATGATTAACAAACCGATATTAGCTATATTTTTAGATTCACTTTTCTCCAATTACTATAATTCTTCTAGCATTGTATTGATTGATTCGTGCTGCTACATAAGAATTTAAAAAGTGAAAATTCGTAAAAAATTTTTGACGATCAAATTTTTTTTCAAAAATATAAATTTTAAATCTAACTCATAAACTTAACAAATAGATGTTTTAGCATTTGTATGAAAGTGATATATTTCTTTTTCAAAAAATGCTAACGACAGCTATAATTTTACGTGTTTTTTTTTTTAATGCAAATTCTATTAAAAAAATTTGCAACGCAGTTAATTAAATAATGATATAATTGTCGAGAACAAACTGGAAACTTCTCGAAATTAATTTCAATCCAATATTTATCACACAGCCAAACCAAATAATTATACTAAAGATTTCTTCTTAATGNTTCATCATTTGTAATGTTTCCGTTAATTTTCACATTCTCAAATCTAATTCGCATTTTAATCCTTATCTCAACAATTATTTTTGTTCCAAATAACTAATCTAAACGTTCCCATCATGTTTGGTCATCTTCAGTTTCTTCTCACGATTTTATTCCTTATCATGTGAATTATCATTTTTTGGTGAATCATATCCTTATCCTTGCATGGGAATTCCGTTCATTGTAAG